CAGTCGCTGCGGGCCATCAGCCTGCCTCACGTCCGTCCGAGTTAAACAGCTTGTGTCGTGGCGGGGCGGGGCGGGGCAGGACGGGGCGGGCGGGTCAAACGTGTGCCCAGCTTTGGTGGTTCTCTCCACCCCTGCCCCTCTCCTCGAAGAGAGAGGGTTGGGGTGTTTGGTGGAGCACTCCGCTGCGTGGGGCGCGGCGGTGTGCTGGGGCGGGTTGGGACGGGACGGGGCAAGGCGTGGCGCGGCGTGGGCGCGGCGTTTCGCTCGACAAGGTAACTCCATCGTGGCGTTGTTCCCGGGCTGCGTGCGGCGGGCCGGAGCAAGGCCCCACTTTGGCGGATGCTTGCGCCGGGTCTCATGCATTCTTGAATGGAATAAAAAAGGGGGTAAACTTGTGAGATGACGTCTCTCCACAAGTGGCGGCGCCTCACCCCCGCTCTCCTCCCGCCGCCCCCAACCCTGCGACCGCCTCTCCCTGGATCGACTCCACAAAGCCGCGGCACGTTAAAGTCAACCCTGTATTTTTTAGAGGGAAACGCTACAAAAGATAATAATGATGCCTAGTCAAACAGCAGCGAGCGCGCGCGTAAACCACAATAATAATCCGACGACGCGATAGCATAGGCTTTTCAAAATGTGTTTTTCATACACCACAGCGTATGGGGACCACACACCACCGTTGTAATGCTGTTTACATATATTTAATCCCCGATACATAATTGTAACGGGAGGAAAAGACCAAAAAAAAAAAAATCAATTGGCCAACCCGCATCCGGCCGGCGCTGCTGTGTTATCTCTGATTGTGCGCGGCGGCCACTCTGCTCGTTAGCGGCGGCTGCTCTGCTGCTCTTGTTGGCGAGTCGCCCTTGTTGGTTGTTCACCGCTTTTTCCCTTTCTTTCTTTTTTTTTTTTGTTTATTTTTGTTTGAACTATCTCGCCACCATCCTCGACTGCCGTTATAGCAAAAGGGCCAACAGGCTCGGGGGAGAAGAAGAAAAAAAATGGTCGCCAGAAGCGGACAAAAAATAAGGTACTTTTGGGACAGCCAATATCTATTATCGGTCTGGTGAATGGGGTGGATGTAATTAATTTGGGGCTAGAGCAGGCGCTGGACAGCGCTCCGCGGACGGAGCAATAATTGCCGAATAGAACTGAAAATTAAAAAAAGACAGCAGAAGGAGAAAAAGGAATAAAGGTATGCCAGGCGATGTCATGGCAAGCAGGGCGCAGAAAGAGCATACCAAGGTGGCGTGTGCTGGAGTACAGAAGAATAGCGCAGGGACGAAGACAAGGGAAGAAGATTTGGCGGGGCGGAGCAGGGCGGGGCAAGGTGGTCGCGGTGCGGTGGCGGCGACAAGCGGGACAGCGGAGCCAGTCTCTTTCGGACTGTTTGGCACATTTCCATTGATGGCCCGCCGACAGCGCCGCGCGATCGGCTCGGGGAATTACCATCATTGACGCCAACATGGCACCGCGCAGATAAAGCGGCAGAACCACCGCCCCCGCCCCACCCAACCCCGGCCAACCCCGCCCCGCTGACGCCAGAGCAAGGGGTTGTTCGGAGGGAGAGAGAGAGAGCGGGGGCAGCACTGAGAAGGAAAAAAATAGAACCACCGTATGGGGAAACAGTGTAAATATAAATGACGAGAAACGAGCGCTTTGTTTAAAGTAGAGATTGATCGTTTTGTCCCTCTTCAGCTGACTTTTTGCCAGTAATCCCCCCTGTTGCTGGCTGCCGGAATCCTGGTGAACTTTCTCATTGTGGAGCAGTTTCTTCGACTCGGCAATCCTATATCTCCCTCTAACATCTCACTGCAAAAATGTTATCTCAATTATTAAATCCGTGCTAATTTAACTCTGAACAAAAACATCCCCTTCCCCGGCCGGCCCACCCCTCCCTCCCTTCCTTCCTCTCTCT